GGCCGCGGCGCCGCGTCCGGCGGGAAGGGCGGCGGGGTCGGCGAGGGCGGGGCGGATGGCGGCGGGTTCGGCGGCGGCTGCGGCGCCGAGTCCGGCGGGAAGGGCGGTGGGTCGGGGGGCCCGGGCGGCGGTGGGCACGGGTTGACGACGTCTGTGCACGCGACTGGGCATGCGCGCAAGAGGTCGGCTTTCTCGCGTTCGGAGTTCCAGCCGAAGCCGCCGTCCTTACATTCGTAGCCCCTCCAGTAGTCGCAGCCGCAGCCCTTGTTGCGAGGGTCGTCACAGTTGCAGTCGCTGCTGCAGAGCGCGTAGTCCGGGTCGTCCGAGCATGGGTCGGACGGCGGAGCTGGCGGCAGCGCCGGCGGGCTGGGGGGCGGCGCCGGCGACGCGGGCGGGAAGGGCGGCGGCAAAGGCCCCCCCGACGCGAGCAGGGCGAGCGATGCGGCGAGCATCTGGCCCACCGAATCCTGGTGAACAGCGGGCACGACACGATTTCGGCGTGCGCGTTTTCTTTTGGCTAGTGTGAATACCAAAGGAATTTAGCATGGACAACACCAGTTTCTTTTTCTTGGTGTACCAGTTGGTTGACGCCCACCCTGGGGCCCTGCACGCTGCAGCTGTGCGGCGTGGCGCGTGCGGGAAAGAAAGGCCACGCGGCGGTTCACAGATGTATCTCTTCCCGCTGGTTCTCTGCGCGCGCTCAAAAACGTACTAGTCAAACATGCTCCACGCCGCATGCTCGCTTTCCAGCACGCCGCACGCGTACCACTCCCTCCACTTGCCGCTGCGGGGCGCCGTCGGCACTGCCGCGGCGGCGGGCGCCTCGCCGCGCAGCTCGCGCTGCCACTCCACCTCCCACTCCTCGTCGCGCGCGATCGCCTCGTCTCGCCGCCTCTCCGCCTCGCCCACGGCGTCCATCAGCGCCTACGGGGCACGACCATCGCCGCACATGTCGCGAATGCGTCGCGGGCGGGCGCCGCGCTTGCGGCGCGTCGGCACCTTTGCGCGCTCGCGGAACTCCCGCTCCGGCAGAAACGCCGGCACGCCCCGCGGCGGGCGGCCTCCCTCCGCTTCGAACCCTGCCGGGCGGGCGGTGGCAGCCGCTGCCGCCGCGCGCGCCGCCTCTGCCGCGGCGGGCGGCGGCGG